CTAAGACACATACTAATACTACGACTAATACTAATACGAATACTAATACGAATAGTAATGCTGATACTAATGCTAATGCTAATACTAATACTAGTACTACTACTATTGCTAACTGATAGTTATACGACTACGACAACGAGTACTAATACGACATCTATACATACACAAACATGTATACATATATGAGTTTTTACATGCATGACCATATGTCTATACCTCTCTCATTATATTTATATATATAAACAAATCGTGATACTTATAAGACGCATCATCATACTAATACGAAGAAGACGACGAAGCAGAGGAGGAGGAGGAGGCAGGGAGGAGGGAGGAGGAGGAGAGGGAGGAGGGAGGAGGGAGGTGGGAGGAGGGAGGAGGGAGGAGGGAGGGACGGGAGGAAGGGAGGTGAGGGAGGAGGGGGGGAAAAGAGGAGGGTTACGAAATCATTCCTGAAAGCAGAGAGCATTCGTCCCATCGGAACGGCCTGCCTCGGCGCCCTCCTGCAGCGGGCGGTGGCACGGCGCGCCTCGATCTCCGCCAGGAGCTCGGGCGTCAGCCGAGGCGGCGGGGGAGGGGGGGGGGGCGTCGGAGCCTGCCCGTTCTCCGAGTCAGGACTGCGTGCTGTGCAAACTCTGCTTGCCAACACTCTCGGGGAGACGGTGGACTGGAGCTGGTCTTATCGAAACGAGGGTCTTTCAAACCTCACCCTGGTTAAGCCTACCTTGCATATGGTCACTCGCCACGTGCTCACTAGAAGGTGTGACAGCACATGTATCGAGGGCCTGGAACAACCTCAAGCCCATTAGGCAGCTCACTGTCATCCACTACAGTCATGTCGCAATCCTGTAACGATGTCGTTCGATGATCCTGCACTGCCTCTGCCATCGCACAGATCCCCCAGGGATGTATTTTTTGGCGGTTTGCACGCCATGTAGTCGTTGCTGTTTCCATACCTTCTAGGTGCCCGTGGGACCTTTTGGTGTGATCACATCTGCCGTGTCTGCCACGCACCTGCACCTTTTCCGCCATAGTGGGAAGTCGCACACACATGGGGTGACGCGGCTGCAGACGCTTGGTGCCTCGCAGACGCTTGCTGCCCAGATGGTGCACAGCTCTGCTGGGATCGACGGAAAAACATGGCAGTGACGCTGTCCGAGCGCGCGTCGGTCGACTGGCTCACAGGGGCAGCTGAGATCGCACGCGGGGTCTGGGTTCGCCACCTCGCTGGAGCTCTGGGCTCCCCGTGCGGCCCCCCAGGACGTCTCGAGGCTGACACGCGCTCCCACCTCCTGGACGAAGCAGGAGCAGCTGAGTCGCGGCAGTGACCAGAGAAGCACCGATTCGAAGCCGGTCATGCTGCCTCTCCTGACATGTCCGGCCTCCACCACCTGTGTTTGTGGGTCCTCAGGGGTGGTGGTGTCCTCGGATTGCACCCTCCGTGACCTCCTGCAGTCTTGCCGCCGACCAGGTCTCGCATGGTGGTCCCCCTATGAGCCTCAGGGCCCTGCCACTCCTCAGCAAGTCCTCCCATCGTAGCAGGATGTCATCCCTAGACAGATCGCCTAATACGGGATCGCACGTCACGTCTCATGATATGACCACTACAGTGCACGGGCCCTGCACAAAAACTGCATCCATTGCTTCCTACACGTCTCTGGTACTTTTCGCGCGAGAAGAGAGGTGCAGAAAAGCCAGCACCTGATATGTCGGTGTTCGTGGTATGTGGTCCGCACATGTACCACCATACTGTAGAGTCTGGAACTTGCGCTCCTCCGATGGGTGTGGCTCCGTCATCACAGCAGGTCGTATTTCCTGAGCCAGGGAACATTCTGGATGTGTGTATGTAGCAGCCGCTAGCAACCGCCACGCCTCCTTCTATTTAGGCTGTACCTGATTGGGGAGTTCAGCGGCCAAGGGGCCCCATGTGCTTGGCATCTGGCACCTCGTCGTATTGTACTTTCCTCCCGATCCTGCATGCGTTCCTTGCTTGCCGTCGTTCGCCCCTCCTTCATCTCCTCCTGTGTGCATGCCCTATGTGATGTCACAGCTGCGAGCAGACAATTTGGATTGCCATACTCGTACGCTAAGTGATCAATCGCAAGCTGTAGCTCTCCGAAGCGTGCTAGGCACACTGAGTAGGTCGGAGACGACACATACCTCTCCGCGGACCTGTTGTGCTGATGGTGTAGCCTGACCACATATGCTTTCAGCGAAGCCTGACTCAGCGTTTGGCGTTCGCAGAAGTCACACTGAAAAACACTACGTTGTCTGTGGGCAGATGTTTCGCCATATCCTATGATACTCGTGGTGACCGCCTTCGCTCCCCTCACTCCCTCCCTCGCGGCCGCTTTCGCCTGTCTTCCCCTCCTCCTGCCGCTCGATAATTTGCGCTTTCCGTTGCCCAGACCGCCTGAGCGCGCGTGCGGACTGCTTCTGCCGTGATGCGGCGTAAAAGTGTACGTTGTGCCACGTCCATGTCGCGCGCGTGCCGTCTCACATGTGCAGCAATAGCCCTGGCCACCAGACTCCTCTTGTGGTTCCCTCATTTCATGATCTCGGACGGCCCAAAGTCATGCCATGGTGTGGGAAACTCTTTTAGGGCAGATACATCTGTTTGTAGCCACTTGATATAGTAGAACAGCCTATCCAGCCAGGAATTCTTCACGCGCGCCGTGTCGCGTATCAGCGTAAACAGGATTGGAGGTCCATCTGTGCAGTCGGCCCAGGTATCTGAGCCGGTGCCACCTGATCAGCACATCCACTGGTGGTCGTAGTGCTAAAAATAAAACCATGCCATCTGATTCGGTTGTCTCATCGTGTATCCTGGTACATCGTATCGCATGAGACAGCCTGTTTATTGATGCCCTGAACCGTTCCAGTTTGGCCTTAGTCGGCATCGGCCAAGTCCCTGCATTGTACATTCTCCCAGGCATGCTGAGTACATCAGCTACTTGCAGCTTCCTCAAGACAGGTAAGTCCGTACTCTGGCAAGCGAACTGGTGCAGCGACCGCGCAGAGGAGGATGTGGACCCCACCCTATACCCAAGTTCAAGTTCTAGTCCCTGAGTCTCTGTTATCATGTCCTCCAGGTGCTGATTGCTGCGTATTGTTGTCAATCTGAGTCTTGTCGGGAATGTCGGAATCGCTGGGACCTCTATGGTCCCTCCCTGGTCGAGCCAGAACGTGCGTCGTTCAATATTTGAGCCTTTTTCCAGAAACGTTAGTAGGACATCTGTCTTGGCTTGTCCTACATTGATCTTTAGGCCTACCAGGGTGGACGAATCGGAGACGAGGGTAGTTAGCAGAGTCAGCTCTACCCGTCGTGCCACACTGCACATTACATAGTGAAAACCGTCGTCAGCATGCGTGCGCAATCTCGCTGCTGTCCTGAGCGTCGCCCAGGGCCGCATGCATGTCCAGTATACGCGTCATCGCGCCCTGGATGAATTGGACCAGTCCTGCCTCCACAGGCTGTTCCCTCGTACGTCGCAGACACGTAGCAATGCTGCACATGAGCAGCTGCCCCGCCAATGTGTTTACAGGTCGTGTCCCAGGGCCCATCCGTGCTACCTTCCCTGAGCCTCATGTGGTGGCCGACGTGCCTCTGAGGGTCTCGGAGAGGACCTTACGTAGCATCAGTTGAGCCTCTAAAAGCATGGTTTTCCGCAACTCACTCGCTAGCATGCGTGTGCATACATTCAGGTGGGAGCTTGAACACATACAATAGTTGAGCAATCCTGTCGCCAGTAATCTCTTCCTTCCCTTCGAATCTTGCTAGCACCTACCTTGCCACATGTTGGAACTCAGCCTCCATGTTCACAAAAAGGAATCCGCGTAATTTTACCTGTGCACGTGCTCTATCTTGTATGAGTCGTACCGCGTGCGTCGCAAGGTCCGTGCCAGGACGCCACCTCATCGCAGCGAGGCGCGCTCGGAGAATCCCAAGGGAGTGAAGCATCGAAGTCGGGGGGGGTGGCGGCGAGGGTGTCCGCAGTTCGGTCGGTTCGTCTGCGTCGCCGTCGATCGTGTTCGGCCAGCTGTCGGGTCGCTGCTGCGTTGCTGCTGCGTCGCTGCGCCCCTCCGGGCTGCTTGCGGCCTGCCGCGTTGGGGCGGTTTTGGTTTCGCTGTCGGTCCAGTCGGCTTTCGTTTTTTTGGGTGCAGCCGTGGACCACGGGCATCTAGGGAGAGCCTGCCGAGACGCAGTGCCCACCACCGCCCGTCGCAACCACGTGCTGTGGCACCTGCCCGACAGTTGTGAGCTTGACTCGTGCCTTCGAGGACGACCGAGCCGAACTGAACCTCGCGGGCGTGAGGCGCGCGACATCTCATCCTCAACGGCAACGGCAGCGGATCCGCGCGCGTGGCGCCATGAAGGTGCGGCGGAGGGGGCGCCGAGGCGCCTGCATGGAATGACATGGGCAAGACGTGCGCCTGTGAAACAGCTCATGGGAAGCACCAGGAGGAGGAGGGCGGAGGAGGAGGGCGGAGGAGGAGGAGGAGGAGGAGGAGGAGGAGGAGGAGGAGGCGGAGGCGGAGGAGGAGGAGGAGGAGAAGGAGGAGAAGGAGGAGGAGGAGGAGGAGGAGGAGGGCCGCAAGGACCCGCACGGCCCAACAGGGGTTGGAAGGACCGTGCAGCCCTCCACGGCCTCGCCCTGTGCCGACCTTCCGAGAAGGTGAGCGAAGCAGCGTCTTGCCCGAAGCTTTTCCGCACCACCTCAATACGACCAATACGACCTCCTTTGCTGCCCCCCTCGATCCATCCCAGGCTCCCTCCTCCTTTCCCTCCTTCTTTTATCCTGATTCCCTCTCCCCGTCGCCCCCGTCTCCCCCGTCCCCCCTCTACGCTTCCCGCCCACCTCCCCCACCCCCTCCCCCCCCTCCCTCCCTTCCCTTCCTCCTTTCCCCTGTTCGTCGTCGTCGTCGTCGTCGTCGTCGTCGTCGCCGTCGTCGTTGTTGCAGTCGTCGTCGCCCTCCCCGCCGCCACCCCGCGGGGCCCCCAGGTCGAGGAGGCCCGCCGGCGCCGACAACAGTTGAAACAGATCGCCGCGCGGGTGGAGGAGTCCAGGAGCGCGCGGGACACGGCCGCGAAGAGGCGCCACGCCATGGCCACGGATGCGCTCGACAACCCGCCGTGGCTCGAGGTCGTCGTCGTTGTCGTCGTCGTCGTCGTCGTCGTCGTCGTCGTCGTCGTAGGAGTAGGAGTAGGAGTAGGAGTAGGAGGAGGAGGAGGAGGAGGAGGAGGAGGAGGAGGAGGAGGAGGAGGAGGAGGGGGAGGAGG